CTGCATTGTGAGTTTTCATTTTCGCTCACTTGCTTCTTCTATAAAATGAAAACTGTGATTCCCGACCTTTCCTCTCTCATAGGACGCATGTATGACGGAAAGAGATGCCAATGAAAAGCTGTCAGATGCACAACATAGAATGTTTCCAAATGGATTTTATGTTAATTGTTCTGATTCTTCCTACACAAAGGCATTAATAGAAGTGCACAAAGGTTTTTACGGGAACACTTGCCATCAGTATTACAGAGCTCCCCGACACAGCAAAAACCGGGTATTCTTTACCAACAAATAAATTTCTTCAGCAAACAGCAGTGCAATTAGACATCAAAATTCTGGTTCCACTTTTCTCTAGACTGTCTGAGTGTTGTTGCTACTGATGTCATTATTTTTAATCATTTCTCAAAATGATTAATATACAGTATTGATGAAAGAATATTATAACCAAAACCTGTGTTGTCACAAGCCAGAGATCATTTTATGGCTTCAAGACAAAGAAAGAAAGAGAGAGAAAGAGAGAGAGAGGGAGGGAGGATGTAAGAAAATGAGGAAGGAAGGAAGGGAGAGAGGGAAAAAAAGAAGAGAAAACAAAAGTTCACAGAGAAAATTGAAGTCACACTTTAGCTTTGCCTGTCTTTTCTCTACCCGTCTTATTCTCTTCAAATTACATTTTTACAAAGACAATTTACCAGCTCCTTCTCCTCTTCATTTTTATCCCATAATAAGTTACAGTTCTGACATCTTTTTTCACTCAACATCATAGCCAAAGTTTTATTCTCTTAAGCAAAAGATAAAAAGTATTGCTGAGCTTTCCTAAGTGAGACACCACCAACAGCCCACCTGAGGTCCCATTTTCTGCTCAGAGGCAGTGACGTCTTGAGCACAGCTGATGCCCAAGGTTCAGATCAGAACCGGAGGTTTCTCACCCTGCAGGAGGCAGCCACCAGCATGGCAAGCCCCGGCTTACTGTGGGCACTTGCGGTCTCCACCTGCCTTGGTAAGGAAGGCACATGCGTTTGTTTTTACTAGTATCCAATAGGACTGGGAAGTAGGAAGAACGATCAACAGCACAGAGATGTAATCTCCTCATTGGGCCCAGCTACTGGAGGCAAGAAAGTTGATGAGTTCTACCTGAAGTTTGGATTCAGAAGAGGAGGGGTAGGTGGGGATAGGAACCAAACTGTGAGTCTGTCTCTTCCACATAATATGCCAATGCAGTCCTTTCTCTCCTCTTCCCACAGGATCCAGCGTGGCCCAGACTGTCACTCAGTCTCAACCAGAAGTGTCTGTATGGGAGGCAGGGACAGTGACCCTGGACTGCACCTACGACACTAGAAATAGTGATTATTATTTATTCTGGTACAAACAGCCTCCCAGCGGGCAGATGATTCTCATTATCCGCCAAGAAGCTTATAAGCAACAGAATGCAACGGAGAATCGCTTCTCTGTCATCTTCCAGAAAGCAGCCAAAATCTTCAGTCTCAAGATCTCAGACTCACAGCTGGGGGACGCCGCGATGTACTTCTGTGCTCTTGGGAGCGCACAGTGAGAGGAGCGACAGGCAGAGGCTGACAGAAACCTCAGACCTCAGCGTCTGTGCAGAGGTGGGAGGAAGTGTTAACAAGAACATACAGAGGAAATCATTGTCTTCTCTGAAGGAAAAAAGTAAATACTGTTTAATCTGACTATCAGGAACACAGAGAGGATGTCTCTGAGCTATAATTCTTAAAATAGTAATACAACAACAAAGGTACATGGTGCTATATCATTTTGCAAAGTATCTTCACATCTGTTATTTCATTTCACCCTCACAACCCTTTGTGTTATATAGGAAGGTCAGACGTTCTGAGCATCACTCTATCCAGCAATTCTCACAGCTTGACCCAAAGCTATATTCTTCTAGAATTATATGTTAACTTTTTACTTTGGTAATTACTCTAATTACTATCTATCTGCATGTCCCACAATCATGGCAAAGTCAACATAACCTAAATTAAATTTCTCACCTTTCTCACAAATATTATTTTTTCCTTTATTTTTCCCTTCCCAGCATTGTGCAAGATTCAGGCACACAGTATAAATCTGCTGTTGCTGGGTTACCACTTTGGGGAATTTCTATACCCTCTACTTTCCAGCCTGTGCTATCTCATTTTTTATGCTTATACTATTTTTTCTTAATTATAAAAATGTGCAAAGAACTACATCATGTCTATCCCACTGTTTTCCATCTGTCAGTCATTCTTCCTTGACTTTAACTTGGCTTTACCCTGTATTTCCTAAAATTCTGTAACGTACCATTTGTCTGATGTAAGAAGATGAGGAAAGAGAACAAAAAATTGTCAAATAGTGTTTCATGTGCTGCTAGTACTCATCAGTGAATGCTAAAACAAGAAACAAACAAACAAAAACTTCTGATAATGCTTTAATTGCTTCTGAT